ACAAGGACAGAGAGAGCTGACAGAGAGAGAAAGTCTTCCCCTGGAGCTGGCACCCTGAATTCGGACTTCCAGCCAGACTGTGAGACAATAAATTTCTATTTGTTGAAGCCATCCACTTTTGGTATTTCGGTTATAGCAGCACTAGATAACTAAGACAGTAGCTATGAGGTCTTTTATATTTCTAGAAGGCTCCAGATTCAGAATGACTGAAAGGGTAAACATCTAGGTAGTTTACTAGTAGCTGATAAGACCATAAGATGTAAAGATGAAGTACTTCTTTCAGTGCTGTCTGCATAGAGAAAGGTAAATAGGGCAAAAGACAGGCAAAAGTTCAAAGTAGGGATAAGTTCAACAAAAGTAAGCTTCTTTCTGTACTCTGTTTCTCATTGATAGTTTCCATTCTCCCTCCAAAAAACTTTCTGAATCCTACTCTTTTCCTATCCATTTTAAATTTATAAAACGAAATTTATTTCTTAACCCAAACTCATTTTTAATAACACACTAATATAATTCTATACACATTTTATGAAAGACTTGTTCAAAGTATCTCAAGCATTAAACAAGTTTGGAAAGGGCAGGGGTTCTTCAATCAGCCCCCAAAATACATGAATTTAAGCCCAGTCGCTGCTAACCAAAAGGTCAGCAGTTGGAATCCACCAGCTGTTCCCTGGGGAAGTTCTACCCTGTCCTATAGGGTCGCTATGAGTCTGAATCAACTTTGACGGCGATGGGTTTTTTGTCTTTTTTTTTTTTTAAGACAAATCTGCTGAGTGTTTGAATTTTTTAGATTGATTTAAGATTAAAAAGTAGTAATAATCTCTCTCATAGAGATTTAAAAAAAAAAAAAAAACACCTCACTGTAGAGTCAATTCCAACTCACAGCGACCCTATCCAAAAGGGTAGAACTGTCCCATAGGGTTTCCAAAGCTGTAATCTTTACGGAAGCAGACTGTCACATCTTTCTCCAGTGGAGTGGTTGGTGGGTTCCAACTGCCAACCCTTCAGTTAGTAGCCCAGCGCTTAACCACTGCACCACCAGAGCTCCTCCTATAGAGATACAGAACATTAATCTAGGAGAAGCTGTGCATCAGCTACAAACACTGGAGGACTGTTTATGAGTGTTAATTCACAGGAAATTTTCTAACGTTTCTGATATCTTAAGCCAATGAGCCCATTTCCATGTGAGTTACCAGATACTTTTCTTCTTCTTTCTTTCCCTAATCTCTCCCCTCCCATTAGTCCTCAAACTCCCAGATGCTACATACATATTACCTCAAACTCTATAATCATGTTTATAGCTTAGAGCTTTCTGTTACCTCAAGCCTTCCAATTTGCAAAATAACCAAATAAGGATTAGATAGATCATCCTTCCATTATCACTTAAACTCATTCTAGCTACTAAAAAAAAGAAAAATTTTAAAACTGTTATTTGGTCAAATTAAAGTAGTACCAACAAAGACACTTATATTAACAAGTTAATATGTATTTCATTATAAATACTATTGGCTCATGAGCACTAATTCTTCTCATATACGTTCTATCTTCAGTCTATTAATTATGTAGACAGAAATTCTACTGACAATTTTAAAAACTCAGAATTAATATTGCTACTCATAATTAGCTAGTGATGATTCAACCAAGATATAAGGTGAGTTTGATTTTTTAAAAGAAATATAAAGAATTAGTGGTAAGGGTACTGACGTCCAGCACAGGATATTTAATTAAGTTACTTCTAAACTACCCAAAAAGGTGCCTATTTGGCACAAGAGTTTGTGATCCACTACTAGCCTAAATGTTGGCAGTTTGAACCTACCCAGCAGCTTCACTTATGAAAGACCTGGCAAACTGCTTCCATAACAATTATTGTTGTTGTGTGCCCTTGCATTGATTCCAACTCTTACAGAAAAGAAAGCTCGATTGAACAGTTCTACTCTGCAACACATGGGGTCACCATTAGTCAGGATCAACTCTATGGCAATGGGTTAAACTATCCAAATATGGGTGGGGTGGTGGTAGCATTGCTTACTTTTGTTAATAAAATTATATTTTTGATATTAGAAGTAATGGCTTCAGCAAAGCTACCAGCTGAACCTCAGACAATATATGAACCTCAGAGTGCAAACCATGTGTAATTAAGGCATCAAGACTGCATGGTTGCAAGAGACCAAAAATATATATCCAAGTATTCCAAGACACAAAAGATTTCAACGAATTAAAACTTTAATCTTTAAATTCTGAAATAACAGAATTTGCAACACCACACACAGGGTGAGAAAAACTGCCAAGAGTGTTTGACCAGGAATAAGGAAAGCTGGAGTCTAGTTTCAGCTCTGTTCTAACCAATCACTGCTCTTGGCCTTGGATGCTTTATTTATTAAGTTCTGTTCAGTCTGAAAATTTGGATTCTTAAATCATTTAAGAATACAAGCATATGATGAGTGAAATGGTGCAGAATCAAATAGTTGTACCTATTTTACTCTTTGAATTAAGTAAGCTCCAATTATTTAGGACACAAGAAATACATAACAGGGGGATAAAAACTACTGATTCAAAGAATCAGAGACTTTAATATCTTTTACATCGTTCACACATATATATTTAGAAACACTCTATCTTTAATATGGTTAAATGTTCTCAAATAATAAGACACTGACTCAGCACTTATTTTTTAATTTACTATGTGTAGAATCTTAAATGTATAAAAGGACTCAACTGAAGTCACTGAATATCTGAATATTCAATAGCATATTGAAAGACTTTTGTGGTTTAAGGTAGTATAAGCCAGGAGATAGTTAAATATTTGCTGCCATCTTGTGGCTAATAATTTAATATATTTTACTGTAAGAAATTGTTTCATTCGCTGTTTATATTCTAGTTCTAGGATTATTAGTCATCTTATGGCTAGTAACTTAACAGATTGTGTTTTAAAAAAATTTTTCCAGTAACTGTTTACTTTGCAGTATTAAAGTTATAAATTTGCAAAGGACTGCATAGATATCTCCTCTGACATCCTGCTAAATGCAAAAGTAATTTCTACAATAGGGAGTCACTATACTGCAAAGAAGTCTATTTTATATATGACTATCTAGATTTGTAAAAATAAGCAGTTTTGTAAGCTTTATAACAAAAGCTGTCTATTATTTGTCTATCCATCATTCTACTGTATACACTAGCAACATGTTTCCTTGTATAAATCTTTTTGTGCAACAGACAATGCTTTATTTATAACAACATATTCTTGGCTCAGAAATTTGAAAACAAACAAAAAGATTTGTTTTTTGTTGTAAGCACTTACTAAGTTTTAATCAAGTATAACCTATTTTAAAAATCATAATTATACCTCAATATCTTTCAAGGTCAGGCTATGACTATGATAAAACGTTTTGTTCCCACAAGGTGTCCACGGCAATCTCAGTTACAACTACTATTACACTAAAATAAGGTAACCCATTATATCAATATATCCCATTCAATCTATGTCATTTGTACAAAGAGTTGTTATTGTTAGATGCCAGAGTCAGTTTTGACTCACAGCAACCCTGTGTACAACAGAATGAAACACTGCCCAGTCCTGTGCCATCCTCACAGTAGTTACTATGTTTGAGCCCACTGTTGCAGCCACTGTGTCTATCCATTTCATTAAGGGTCTTCCTCTTTTTCGCTGACCCTCTACTTGACCAAGCATGATGTCCTTCTCCAGGGACTGATCCCTCCTGATAACATGTCCAAAGTACGTTAGACAAAGTCTTGCCATCCTCGCTTCTAAGGAGCATTCTGGCTGTACTTCTTCCAAGACAGGTTTGTTCATTCTTCTGACACTCCATGGTATATTCAATATTCTTCACCAACACTATAATTCAAAGGCGCCAATTCTTCTGCCTTCCTTATTCATTGTCCAGCTTTCACATGAATATAAGGCAATTGAAAACACCATGGTTTGGGTCAGACACACTTTAGTCCTCAAAGTGACATCTTTGCTTTTTAACACTTTTAGAGAGGTCTTTTGTAGCAGATTTGACCAGTGCAATATGTCATTTGATTACTTGACCGCTACTTCCATGGGCACTGATTATGGATCCAAGTAAAATGAAATCCTTGGCAACTTCAATCTTTTCTCTGTTTATCATGATGCTGCTTACTGGTCCAGTTGTGAGGATTTTTGTTTTCTTTATGTTGAGGTGCAACCCATACTGAAGGTTGTAGTCTTTGATCTCCATCAGTAAGTGCTTCAAGTACTCTTTGCTTTCAGCAAGCAAAGTTGTGTCATCTGCATATTGCAGGTTGTTAATGAGTCTTCAACCAATCCTGATGCCGTGGTCTTCAGATAGTCCAGCTTCTCGGATTATTTGCTCAGCACACAGATTGAATAAGTATGGTGCAAAGAGTAAGGGGTCTGGTCTATATCTATCTATCATATGTCTCTTTCCCTTATATGGGGATTTAAAAAATCAAATTATCCTTTAAAAGACCTAGGTATTATCCAAGATTTACTACAAGCTACCTGATTTCTGGCCAGTCATTTAAGGTCAGTATTTTGATTCCCTCATCTCTCTTCACTTTAATCCTTATGGCATAAAGATAATTATATACTTATGATGACATTTGATCTTAAGAGTGCAAAAAATGGATTGCCTAGATCCCAGCTTGCTCTGATAGGAAAAGCAACTTGCTTCAGCCCATCAATTGCTTTCAGTAAGATAAAAGAACAACAGAACAAAATACCCTTTATTTTATACTCATATCTAAGAGCACCAATGAAAATCACAGGGTACATGACAAGTCCCAAAAGACTCATTAAATTAGAGCCACAGGAGCTGTCAGGATGTGAAGGCCTATCTATAACGCAGGGACTCAAAATAACTTAGTAAATCAGTTTCTCTAAATACACACAAAACTAAAACTCTCCTACATTCATAAACAACAAGTCATTAGAAATGTAGAGGGTTAGTCTGAATGCACTGCTAGTAACCTTTCATTATAATACGCATTTAGGAACTTACAGCATCTGCTTTACAAATGGTGTTGGCTACATGTCGACATAACATCTTTAGCCAGCTTTCCTTGGGAAGTTCCTCTGATGTCATCTGGAAACTCAGCAGCACATTTGCCTGCTCTGTTGGTGGCCTCACAAGCAAGGCAAATGCATTATGGCAATCTAGGGTTCCAGAATAACCATAAACATCATTAAGTGTTACTCCTTTGAAAATGATAAATTAACACAAGTTTAATCCCTCAGAGTAACAAAATTCCAATGACATTATCTCTTCTCCACCCTCTCCATCCTCCTCCCTTTTCAATTAGACAAAGAATTTCAACGTATTAAAATGAAGCATTGGAAAGACTTACAATAAATTAGTACCACATAAGAAATCGACAATAACTTAATGACACTAAGTTACCAGTATTTTGCATGACATTTAATGTTTTCTATGATGAAATTTATGAAAAGAAAAATATTAGATCGTATCACTTGTTAGAATTCTAGAACTTAATTTTTAAATTATCATAAGAATTCAATAACTCAACCTACTGAAGTTCAAAGAAATAAAATATCCAAGTATTAAAATTCTGTGACAGAATGTTTTGTGACCCAGATACTTAAACAAAAGCTATTTTAACAATAGTCTTCAATAGTTAAAATCCAAACAATTGGAGATGATTTCAACAAATGGACTTAGTAACCCTTAATAAATCCAGAATTTGATAATCAAGTGAAAAGCAATGTAAATTGCTGTTTAAGTTTTCTTTAAGAAGTATTTCTCATGAACTCAAAGCATTCCATCATTAGAGGGTGAGATCAATAATGGAATCAGCTTACATTGTAGAAATATATGCCTAATATCCAAAATTTGGCCATGCACACATATAATTAGGTACAATTAAACAGATGATATTGTGTTGGTAGGTATAAATTTTTTGGCTACTTCAGGTTTTCAGGGACCCGCCCTCCCCGCCAATACTACCAAAGTTGTTAGTCAAAAGTTTTCCTTAATGCACATTTGACCTCATGGCAAGTCTACCACAGTTACTTTGGATGCATTTATTTCATGTACACCTATTCGCTGTCCATATTCCTAAATACATCCCTAACAATGTGGCCACTGGCAATAAGGAAGGTATAATATGTGGAGGACAGACAAAGGGCTGGAAATTTCTTTTGGATTCTGAAGGAATTAAAGTGAGTTTTGGCGAGGGAATAGGCTAGGGCACTACTGTGACCCAAAACTATTTAAAAGCTCTTTGTCCCTTAAGGGAATGAGGTGTCCTACAGGTTGAGACAGCACCTTCATTTGAAAAATCAAAATTCAATTCTGTTCCTACAGAGTGTCGGGATAGAGGTATAAGAATAAGTGCTGCGTCAGAACTGGTAAACTACATTCAAAAGTGGTTTAAATAAATAAATAAATAAACTATAAGGGGTGAATCAAACCCACAAGGGATATAAACTATTTTTACTTAACCGATAGTTTCTCAATGAACATACCTTCCGTCTCTCTTATGTCCAGCACCTTCTTAATTTGAGAAAGAGGCATTAGATGAATATGCTTTAGAGGAGGTGGGGGTCGGGTATGGCTATGAGGACTCCTAAAAGTGCCAATAACCTTGTGTCGTTTCCTTGCTATCTGATAATGGGAAAAAAAAAAAAATTGTTAGTAACATGAATAAATACAACTAAAGGCCACTCTTAAAAATAAAATAGAACTAATTACATAACTCCATATGCAGCTCACCTGACTACTAGTCATTCCAGGGCTATTATATGATAAGAAGCAGAGTTACTATGTGACAAAATCCTATGCACACTTGTGTACCGGATGTGCTCATGTTTAGGAGAAGAGCTCAAAAGTCAGGAAAATTGATGAAGGATGGGGATATGCCAAAATTCCCAGAGGTGTGGAATAGTCAGAAGCTAGGTGAGGAGCAACAGAATTAAAGGATAAGGGAATCTTGAATGAAAGGCCTTGAGTCCAAGAGAAGAGGAAGAGTTGCTCTGGGATCTCTGTCTTGGATACAAAAGAGAATTGATTTCAGTTTAAGAGCAGAATTCATGTTTCAGTTGCTGCGCAAGGCACTGAGGAGAGAGAAGTGAATAAGACAGAAATAGTTTCTGCTCTTATGAGCTTTACTTAATACTGAGAAAGGGAAACACCAAGTAAGTAATCAAACAAAACAAATGAAAAAATGATAAATTTAAGGTACTGTGTTAGGATAAGCTAGGAACTCGTAAAAGGAAGAGATGGGTGAGGTAAAGCTGAAAACAGGAACAAAATCAAAAAGGATATGATTCATGATTTACTTGGGAGAGTTCCTCTGAATTTTATAAGGTCTTAAAAATTTTTGTTTTCATTTCTGCAAAAGTCTAGTATAGTATTTTGCCATTTTTAAAGAACATCTCTTCTGTAGTGGTAGTCATAAAGAAAAAGACATTACTTAACAAATTGAGATTAGTTGGTTATCATCACAAATATGACAAAATTTGGCTGGAAAATGTACTACCTTATGTTAGCACACACGAGACTAACAAGAAAAGACCAAAAGCCATGGCCAAGACCCCCCAAACCTGTTGCCATCGAGACGATTCTAACTCATAGCAACCTTTCAGGACAACACTACAGGAAACCCCAAAGGTTTCCAAGGCTGTTATCTTTACTGCAGAAGTGGGTTCGAACGACCAACCTTTCAGTTAGCAGCCAAGCACTTAACCACTGTGCTATGAGGGCCAGTGTCATATTCACATCAGAGCAGAAATAGAAAGCAAATCTATGCTTGGGTGAATCAAGTATTGAAAATTCATTTATATTAATATAGTGAAAATAAGCAATAAAGGCTTTTCCATTATATAATTATTTACATTGTAATACTTAAATATGCTTTTAAATTAATTTGGCTGAGTAAAATAATGAAATGTTAAGGTTCACTTTTAAAAAGGAAAAACAATGACAATTGTTAATACTGATGACATGAATGCTAATACGTGATAGCAAAAAAGAAACTAAATACTACATAAAAGATAAAAACGAAAAGTACATCCTTAAATCCAAAATTAGTTTAGTTTTAGTAAAACATTTCTTGTTACATTAAAGAGAAGTTAATCTGGATTTTATCAATTTTGAATGTTTCTAATTTTTCACCGGTAAGAATGCCTGCTATAGGTTTTTAGCAGGTCAAAGAAGTACTATACACTTATTTCCAAATTTGCTAAGAGTTGGTTTTTTTAAAAAAAAAAAAATAACCACAAATTAAAAATCAGAGTTTAGGATTATACACTGTGAAGTCCAAATTTAATATGCTAGAAATAGAGCAGTTTCAGTTGATGTGATTCTGTGACTGGGAGGCTAAGAGAGATTGGAAGGAAAAGTTACTAGAGTCAAAGGTCCCTGGGTGGCATAGGCAGTTTACGCTCAGCTAGTAACCAAAAGGTTGGCGGCTCAAACCCCCTCAGAGGCACCATGGAAGAAACAGGCCTGGTGATCTGCTTCATAAAGATTACAACTGAGAAAACCCTATAGAGTAGTTCTACTCTATAACACACGGGTCTCCTAAGTCACAAATCAACAACAAAAAGTTACTAGAGTCAAGAAGGCAAAGGAAATTTGAGGCTGGCGTATCACATACTGGACTTGGAAGCGTAGGGAATGGTCAATGGCATGAACTAAAGCAGAAAGGAAGTAAATGAGTCAATTAAAAAACACTGAGGAGTATACAATACTGGGGAAGCCAGCACAACTTGTACAAGGAAAGGTCATGGAAGCTCCATAGACACATCCAAACTCCTTGAGGGAGTGAATTGCTGGGCGGAGGGCTGTGGGGACCATGGTCTCAGGGAACATCTAGCTCAATTGGCATAACACAGTTTATAAAGACAATGTTCTACATTCTACCTTGGTGAGTAGCATCTGGGGTCTTAAAAGCCTGTGAGCGGCCATCTAAGATACTCCACTGGTCTCACCCCTTCAGAAACAAGGGAGAATGAAGAGAACAGGAACAAAGAAAAGATTAGTCCAAAGGACTAATGGACCACAGCTACCAAGACCTCCACCAGACTGAGTCCAGTACAGCTAGATGGTGCCCGGCTACCACCACTGACTGCTCTGACTGGGATCACAACAGAGGGTTCTGGACAGAGCTGGAGAAGGATGTAGAACAAAATTCTAACACACACATGCAAAAAAGACCAGATTTACTGGCCTGAAAGAGACTGGAGAAACCCCGAGAGTATGGCCCCTAGAACACCCTTTTAGCTCAGTGGTGAAGTCACTTCTGAGGTTCACCGTTCAGCTGGGGATTGGACAGCCCCATAAAACAAAAAGGGACTAATAAGGCACAGCAGTCCAGGGACAAGGACTAGAAGGCAGAAGGGGACAAGGAAGCTGGTGATAGGGAACCCAAGGTTGAGTAAGGACAGTGTTGACATGTAGTGGGGTTGTTAACCATTGTCACAGGGCAACATGTGTACTAACTGTTTAATGAGAACTATTTTGTTCTGTAAACCTGCATATAAAGTGAGAATAGCAGCACAACTGGAAGAACGTAATCAATGTCACTGAATTGTGCATGCAGAAATTTTTGAAATGGTTATCTTTGGCTATGTATATTTTCACCAAAAAAAAAAAAAAAAGGTCGAGAAGGGAGAGGGTTGACATGTCGTGAGGTTGTTAACCAATGTCATAAAACAATATGTGTACTGACTGTTTAATGAGAAACTATTTGTTCTGTAAACCTTCAGCTAAAGTACAATACAAAAAGGAAAAAAAAACACTGAGGAATTTGGAGATACAAGATCAAAAGTATAACGTAAGCCACGACTCTGTCAGGAACAAAGAGATAAAAACCAGAATAGATTGGCAAGGAAGTATATAGACAATTATCCTATTAGATAAATGGAGCCAGCCGACCTAGGGACTTCAAGTGGAAAAACCTAAAAATACTTTAATAGAAGCAAACAAGTTCTGAGAAACTATGTATAGTAAAATGCCATGATAATAATTCAGATAAAATATGACTGAGAATTGACTCCTTTGCCTAGTCCCTGTTCTCAAAAGCAGGGCAGGCTAACATTTTTATCATGGGGAAAGCAGGTTGTTCAGAATTATCTGCCTCATGACTTTTTATGACTTTCTCAGTTCAGGTATGGTCAACTGTATACAGTATTTTTACTATCTGTATTTTTGTGCTTTCTGTGGCATTACTGAACAAATGTGAATATTTTTCATTAACCTCGCCAGAAGAAAACTCTGCATTTAACACAGTGAATTTTTGATGAGGTTTTATTGCACCAATAACTGCTCTATGTATGATTTGTTCTCTAAGATTCCCTTATGTTTTACACTTTAAATAGTAATGTACATGCTGTAACAGGGCAGCATTTCAAGAAAAGTGACAAAGGATAAAACAAAGGGGTATATAGACTTTAAAGAAAAAGGAAACCCATCAAATTATTTTGATGGAGGCAACAGAATGTTACTCAACAGAAATGTCAAATGAGTCTTGTTAATGTTTGTTTTAGCAAAACGAACATTTTTTCCTCTGGGATAAAGGAAAATGCACATCTTTATATCCCTTATTAGCTTGTCTTATTTAAAAATACACTGTTAAAATAATGAAAGAAAAGAGTTGAAAAAGCATACAAACATAATTCAATTTATCTTTAGGTGTAACCTGGGAAGAAACAAATTAACTTGCATAAATAAGAATTTTATAATTATAATAATTGAGTGACATAATTATCACTCATTCATGCTAAAATCTGATTTAAGGAAGAATCGGAATCATAAAGGAATTCATAATATTAAATAATCAAGTTATCTCTCAAATCAATAAACTACTGACTTCATCTTTGCTGGAAAATTTATTTCAATTCCATTAAGAAGAATTCAAATTATTTTGTAAATCTTGAATAAATACACATAGGAATAAGAAGTCTCCCCAATTTTTGACCTATATGTTTATTTACATAGAAATAAACTAACTTTTCATTTTGACTTGGATTGTGAATTATGGAAATTTACCATATTTCTTAACATCAGCCCTTCTCCTAAAAGCATTCTATTAATAGTATTAAGTAAAAAATTGGTCTCAACTTAAAAATGATTAAAAAAAAGTTTAAGTTGACTTTAAACTTCTACTTCAATCAAAACTTGGTTTTAAACATTCAGAGAAGTCAGAAAAATCAGATGTGTTATTATACTACATTAAGTACAACTTTACCTCCAGGCAGTCATTGAAGAGGAAGAGAGTTACTTGCTCTCCTCTGTCACACGGGTGCTCACCTAGAGATACTGTTTCAACTCGTTGTACTAAGCTTCGGTGAGAAGATAAAAGATTAGCCTGCATAGATTGAATATATTAATAAAAGAGATCAATTGGTATTAAGCAGTAAAAAAAGTTATAATTTAAAATATAGTGGTGCCAAGATTCTTTTTACAAATCAAAACTATAGAAACTTCAGTAACAAGAAAGAAAATTGACAATTGTCAAAAAAGAATACTTACCGGGCATCCATCTACTTCATAAAAAACATCAAAAATTTGCTTTTGGGCTTCTGTTTTTCTCTTATCTTCATTAATATGCCTGAAACATTAATAGTTATCTTTAAAACTTAAACTTTTAAAGCAACAGAACATAAAAGCTGCATACAAATGTATCCCAAGTCACTTAAGACATGTCCTTCCTTGTGAATCCACATAAATTACGATAGCAGAATTAGTTAAAATGTTCCCTAAAAGTATCCTACTGCATTAAAAAAATATACCATAGGAGATCCTTCAGAAAGTATGTTTTACTATGCTCTTTACTATACAATTCCTAAAATACATTAGACCTGTCCAAAATGCAGGTTAACAAATAAAGTTCTGAAGTTCTATATGTAAGCTCAGTTAAGGTTTTATGCACATCACTCCCAGGTCACATGTTAAAGATTTTATTCCTACGATTAACAGACTACGGCTTTCAGATAAGATGGAATAAGAGGACATGGATTTACCCTCCTGAAAAAACAATCAAAATATAAAGACATCAAGTCCTATAAGACAGGAAACAAATAAGGTAAGCCTTACACTTGCCCTAGCTTGTAGCCTAGAGAACGCTTTCTCCATGCACGGACAGCACAGGCAGTGCCCAACTCTTTCCCTGAAACAGCCCAGAGAGGAAAAGATGGCTAGCGTTTTCAGGGCAGAATACTGCAAAAGAGAAGGGCTGCCCAGACAGAGAACTCCAAAGATCTGCAGAAGACTCTCTGTGTAATCACTTGAGCACTGCGTGCACGTGTGTAAGGAAACTACTGAGGTTAAGGAAAGAAACACCCGAAATGATTAGTTAACAGTGCCCAGCACTCACGTGGCATAAAATAGTTTGTTCCCATGAATCAGTGGAAAACTTTATGATTCGTGGAGCATCAGGTAAAGTACTAGGAAGGATCACGCGTCAACAATGGAGAAAATTAACCCTAGATAAACGCCATTCTGATCCTGCCTAACAAAGCTTAAAAAAAAGACGCGAAAAGATCAAACTGTCTGTAAGTAACTTAAATGCATCCCAGAAAAAAGTTCAAAACAATCGTAGGAATATAAAAATATCTAACACTCAACAAAGTAAAATTAACAATGTCTGGTACCCAATAAAATACTACATAGCATGCAAAGAGGCAGGAAAATATGGCCCATATTGAGGGGGGAAAAAAAAATCAATCAGCTAAAACTGAAACAGAAATGACACTGATAATGGAATAAGCAGGCAAGGACATTAAAACAGTTACTATAACTATTTCATAGGCGTTCCTGAGCAACAGAAACAGTTAGGTTTGACAGGTCGAATCCACCCAGGGGTGCCTCAGAAGTACAGAAAGGCCTGTGATCTACTTCTGAAAGATTACAGCCATTAAAAACCCCATAGAATGCATGTATATACTCTGAAACAAAAGGGGTTGCCACCAAGTTGGAATCAACTTGACAGCAACTGGCACAACTATTTCATAGGTTCAAAAAGCTATAGGAAAGATTAAACATCTTGAGCAGAGACACAGAAGATATTAAAAAAAAAAATCAAATTTCTAGAGATGGAAGCTAACCTGTGCTGGATGACAAACACACTGGATGAGGTATTGGAGAAGGTTAGTGAAACTGAGGACAACAATAGAAACCAGCCAAACTGAAACAGAGAAAAACGACCAGGGGAAAAAGAGAGAAAAGAGTTACCAGCGTCAGTGAGCTGAGGGATAACTTCAAAAAGCCAAATATATGTGCAATTAGAGTGTCCCAAAAAGAGAGAAGGCAGGAAGGACAGTAAAATATTTGAAAAAATATGCTGAAACTGTTCTAAACTTGGTAAAAGCTGTAAAACCACAAATGCAAGAAGCTAAATAAACCTCAAGCACAAAAACAGGAAGAAAACTACATCAAGGCACATCATAACTGAAGTACTTAAAAAAAGCAAGCAAAGAGAAAATCTGATGAACAACCAGAGCTGACTGGAGTAAGGAAATGACACCAGATGGTACATAAATCCAAAGGAAGAAGAGAAGCAGAAATGGTAAATAAGATAGTTAATACAAGAAACTCCATAAATATATACTAGCTCTCTTTTCTACTCTCAGCTTCTTTTAAAAGACATAAAATTACATAAAGGAACAATTTTAACTTTTTTTTTAATAACAATATATAGTTGGATTTGTAACATATACAGATGCAATAGGTATAACAATAAAAGCACAAAAGAGGGGAAGAGAATAAAGCTATATAGGAGTAATGTTTCTGTCTCACTGGAATTAAATCAGTAAAAATCTGGAATAGATTTCGTTAAGATGGTAAGATATGGTAAGCCCCAGAGAAACTACTAAGACAAGTTTTTAAAATATAGTGAAAATGAAAAAATTATTTTAAAAAATTAGTATTACACTAGAAAATATTCACTTAATTAAAAAACAGTAAAGGCAAGACAAAGGAACAAAAAAAAAAAAAAAATATGAGACAGTAGAGAAAAAGTAAAATTTTAGGCAGAGTAAATCCAACTAGATAATTTCAATAATAACATTAAATGTATCTGTATTAAACATACTAATCCAAATGAAGAGATTATTAGACTGAATAATAAAAAACAGTCCAACTATATGTTGCCTACTAGAAACACATTAAATTCAAAGACACAAACAGGTGCAAAGTAAAGGCATAGAAACAGATGTACTACGTAAGCAGTAACCAAGACATTAGTAGCTACAGTAATACCAGAAGATGAAAATGAAATAGAAGACTTGAACAACAGTATCAAAGAACTAGATCTAATAGACATCTATAAAACACTCCATCCAAGAGCAGAATGCACTTTCTTCACAAGTGTACTTGGAATATACTCCGGAATAGACCATACGCTAACGCATAAAAAATAAATTTAAAAGGAATGAAATCATACTATGTTCTCCAATGACAATGGAGTGAAATTCCATTTCAAAAAAGTTTGAAAATTCACAATTGTGGAAATTAAACAACACACTCCTAAATAACCAATGGACCAGGAGTAAATAACAAGGGATATCAGAAAATACTTTGAGATAAATAAAAACAAAAACATAACATGTCAAAACTCATAGAATGCAACTAAAGCAGTGCTTAAAGGGAAATCTATAACTGTAAAGGCTTATATTAAAAAAAGAAGAAAGATCTCAAGTCAATAACCTAACCTTTTACCTTAAGACACTGGAAAAGGGAAAACAAACAAAACCTAACACATGCAGAAGGAAGGAAATAATAAAGATCAGAGTGGAAATTAACGAAATAGAAAAACAGAAAAAAACAAAGTCAGAAGTTGCTTCTTTTAAAAGTTCAAGAAAATAGGCAAACCTTTAACTAGACTGAACAAGGGGGAGGAGGGAGAGAAAACACTAAAATTACTAAAATCAGGAAGGAAAAGAGATGTCACTAGTGACCTGACATATAAAAAGAATAAGAGAATACTATGAACAACTGTATGCCAACAAATTAGATAATTTAGATGTAATGGAAAAATTCCTAAAAAGACACAAACCACAGAAATTGACTCAAGAAGAAATTTCATTGAGTTGATACTTCTAATGTATCTCTGACCAACCTTACCAATTTAATTCCATGAAATTTAAGGTAGGAAACAAAAAGTCTAAAATAAAAGTGAGAAGTATTATAAAACTTTTCATTTCACCATGGTCAAATTCTCAAGTCACATACAGGCAGTTCACATGAATATGAAGACCAAAATCAACTATGACTGGAGATACATGAAGAAAATAACTTCAGTGTATGTTGAACATTTTCAGATTTCTAAACTATTGCTCCTCTCTATGCATAACAGTGTAATACTTTCAGTGATAAATGTTTCTGATTAATCAATGTATTCTTATATTTCTCATCATTAGAAAATAATATACCAATTATTTTACAAAAATTTGCTATTGACATTTTTCTCTCCATTTATAAAAACTCTAATTGTTCCATTAATTCCATTCTAAATCTAAAAACCAGTAAGAAAAATAAAATATTTACTGCACTTACGTCATTACTTCCTTTAGTGATCCAATAGCTTTTTCCAGAGTGCTTTTGTCAGGATTTTCATCGGCTGTGTGCTTCTTAAGATCTGTAATGATAAAACATTTTTTTTCTATGATTAAAAAAAATTCAGTGGTTTTCTATCTAAGATTTTTTAAAATGCAGTCCATCTTGATACATATAGGCTGATTAATTTTTAAAGACAATATATTTTCACTTAAAAAAAGTTTTCAGCCATGTTCCCTTAAGAGTTCTCTTCTTACACATTTATTAAGGTTACCACATTTTTTTATTGATCGAATTTTCAGACTATGTAATACAAGTTTTCTTATGCTGCCTTCTCAATTCTAGTAAAGCTTAGGACTCCTAGATTCCTCTGCTGAATGAAAACACATAACCCTCAACTAGCTCAGAGATCATTATATATGTTATACTGTAAGTCATATTGGGGGCCCATGGCTCTATCATAGAGTATCTGGTGTCTGTAAAAGTAGATTTTGTTTAATCCAAGAGATAAATATACTTTGACTCTTCTTATCCAGATTGCTTATCCTATGCCATCTGTGGCACATTTCTACCAAATCTATTCTCAATCTAGCACCATATCCACCTAATCTTTTAAGTGGAATAACAGGAAAAAGACTTAGAAATCAAGTTCATTTTAGTTATGACAGCATGGATTTCTATGAGTACTTAATGAAACAATTGTGATGATATGTAAATCAGCAGAAAAACCTACTGTTTTGGAAACTTCAAGGTTTGTTTATATATTATCTTTATAATCTGTTAAAAAGGGTAGGGAAATCATTTTATAAGCTAAAAATTCTCAACTATATTAGCTAATTCTAAAGAGAAAAATTATGAAATTTAGTTATCACTATAATTAATATACTAAGTTAAAATATTTGAAAGAAAAAAATAAAGTCTCAAAATTAGCTTCCTTGTCTGCTGGACAAATTAGTGTAGTTAGAGTTTAGGGATCAAAATGTTTTAATACAAGCTTATTTCTGTTTGTACTTCATATTTCACATTTAATTTTAAATAATAAAACAAAAACTTCACACTTCCTTAAATATTCGCTAATTTAGTCTGCTAAATGTAAGGGTATATATATATATATACACATATACACACACACACATACATATGCTTGTTTGACCACAAGCAAAATCTATTCATAAAAATTAACTCTGCTGTAGAACTTCCTTCTACTTATATCTGTAGTTTAAGTTCTAGAAAATATGGATCTATGTTTCAAAAGTGATTTGAAAAACCTAAGGAAAAAAAAGTAAGCATAAGGCCAAGTATATAGAACTTTACTAAAATTCAGAAAAGGACTAAACTTTCGACATACGAATCTTCTCTCTTCTTGTGATTTTGTGGGTGAACTTTTGAGTTTACGTACATGTAAATCAATTTTGAATTAGTGACACACCACAAAATGTAAGATGACTTTAAATGGATAAATGAAAAGTACAATACTAGTTAATATAAATGATACCAAACAAATAAAGTGGTCCAGACTGAATTTTTGTGGCACCAGTGATTACTTTAAGATTATATATAAAGCTGTTTTCTTTGTAAAAGAGATATATAAACCTTAACGCAGAAGTCTAAAAAACCTATGAAAATGGGAATTCCAGCTATTTTAGGAAAAAAAACAATTTCAGGAAAATATCTAAAATAGGTAAGACAAGTACCATTTAAAAGTAGTGCAACACTGGGTAACCTCTGTACTGGTCGGATGAGAAGTTCAACAAGGCTTTGCCGTCCACATTCTGGTTTAGCTTGGTTTATCTGAAAAGAATTAACATATTCAATAATTAAAGAAGGAATGGTTTTTGTAAAGATTAGGCATCTTAAACCCTATCATCAGTAGCCCTGATAAGAATTAGCAGCACAGGTGGGGTGGCAGTTACTCTTCAGATTACTGTGGTTGAATAACCTTCCGGGGGCTAAAATGACTTACTGGTCAGCCAAGGGTTAGCAACTCAAATAGAAAGTGAGTTCCACTACACATCTTACACATCCCACTTTAAGTTTCTCTAAAGTCTACACAATTTTCAAGAAAAAAATTTTTTTTTAAATATTAATTATGCTGATACCTTTGGATAAAGAAAGTGGATAGAGTATTTGATAAGGGGAAAAAAATCATTAAAGACAAAATAAAAATCTTGCTGGAAATTGTCAGATGTTTGAAAGCTAAAACTTGTATAACTTCTATAACTACATATACCATTCTCATTCTCTTAGCTGCCCCTGCTACCTAATACGTCAAATCTTCTGAAGCTAAACATCACTCCCACCCTAAAGTACAGCTAAAATTAACACATAATATTAAGGTGTGCTAACATGGATATATTTTTACTGAAGTTATAATTTAGTTTTTTTATAATTTTAATGAAAGTCCTTCAGAAATGACTCTCAGATTTTTATTTGAAAGATTTGTACATACCTTCAGAAAAGCATGAAATCTTGGTTTCTGTTTTTCACATTTAATAATTGTTTCCTTCCTCATTTCAAAGAAGTTTACAAAGGGAGGGTAGGTTTTTATCAAATCCTTTGACTAGAAAAGGGAGAAAAAAAAACTCTAATTTGTTACTCATATCACCTTTAGACAATGAAACTTAAAGTCAAATAATCAAAATTTACTATCTGACATAGTGGATGCAAAAAAAAAAGTTTAAATAAGTTTCTTCTCAAGTTAAATATGGAAATTAATTTTATAAACTTCTCAGTAAGAGTTAACTGCTAAACAAAAAAATGATCAATTGGAACACACGGCCTAAATCTTGCGTAAGAAATAAAGAACCAGTAAGAAACAAAAGCATATTAAAGCTTATCTTATTGACATAAACATGACAAAGAAAATTTTCAAAACTTCTATAAAGACACGCATTCAGGATGTAATAATTCAAATAGAGCTTATCTATGCAGAACCCAAGAACACGTAAATTCTTTACTGAAGGCGATAAGTCACCACTAAAAGATCGATTATATGACTCAAAAATGCAAGCAAGAAAAGAATAACTGCCTTGACTAATTGAGGATACTAATAGACATCAAAAGTGTATGTGGTAATAATTTGCATATTTGGCTGTCTCACCCAGAAAAAACATCTGAGAGACTATATGGCAAAGCAGGAAGTTGGAGGAGAGGGGTAAGTCTCAGAACACTAAATAAATGTATCTAGATCCAAAGCACTAAAACCTATAAATCCTACTCAAAGGAATGAACCACAGTACCTCACTCAAAATGAATTTATTTTTGTTTTATAAACTTAAGTATTTTTATTTTATAAATTAGTAAAGGAGCAGTTGATTAGAAGCTTCTATATAGAGTATACATAACAAGAGTAAAAAATGATAACTAACAACTAAAGAAAGAGAAAAATAAAACTCAATTACAGAAATTTCAACAACAAAACATTAACCTGTGGCCATTTATAAAGGGCAAATAACTTAATATGTAGCAAAACAGTAGCATAGTATGACAATTAAGTCCCTAATGATGATCTTGAGTTATCAAGACAATGTTAACATATAGTAAGCATGTTTCAGAAAACAAGAACCTGGAACGTATTTTACAAACACAATCATGTCTAAGTTTTAAAAGCGCTCACATTTCAAGGAGTAACTTTCATTTATCTGAAAAGTCTCTTGTGCAGGGTACATCATTCTGATAGTCCTTGATGAGATACTTTAACCTAAATACTTAAAAAATAAAATACTTACATATTTAAGAAAAATGTCACCAATGCTTTTGCTCTCATCCCAATTGATAATAAGATCTTCAAGATCATCCTGAAATAATACAAACTGAAACTATAAAGATTAAACTTGACAGCAATTTATATACTTTTTAATATTTCTGAGATATTTATTTGAAAGTAGCACTTTTCAAAGTGTCTTCATTTGACATGCAGAGCAATTATTATCTCACTCTTGTACCTCAGCATGGAATTAGTTTTTTTACTAGGAGGAAAGTATCCTTTGAAAAATAATTAAGAAGGCATAGATAGCATCAAGTACAAGCAACAACAAACTGGGAGAAAATATTTGCAAAACACATAGCTGATCAAGGACTTATTTCCTGAATTCATAAAGAATTCTTGTTTTTGTGTGCTGTCAGATCGATTCTAGCTCATAGCAAGCCTATAGGACAGAGAAGAACTGCCTCAAAGGGTTTCCAAGTCTGTAATCCTTACGGGAGCAGATTGCCAGGTCTTTTCTCCTGCGGAGTCACTGGTAGGTTCAAATCGCCAACCTTTTGGCTAGCATCCAAGTGCTTAACCATTGCACCACCACAGCTCCTTCACAACTCAATAATATGATGACAAACAAGCCAAAAAAAACGGGCAACAGACTTGAACATACATTTCACCAGAGATGATATAAAAATGGCTAACAAGGGGGACTCCGGCAAGATGGCGGTCTAGGCAGAAGCACTACGCTGTCCCTCCACAACAAAGATCCGAAAAACTAAGCCAAACAGAGAATCAACAATCCTGAAACCCTAGAACATCAAATGAAGAGATAAAGA